ATTAAAAATTTAAAAAGTTTTTAAAACTTTCATCCAAAATTTTTAAAATAATCTTTTTAGAAAAGTATTTTCTATTGAGTATAGAAGTAGAAAAGAAAAAGAGAATGTGAAATACAACACATTTTCTCTAATGTATGAAAAAAATTGATTAAATTTTAAATCCCATCAAATCTTTGTAAATTTTATGGACATTTTGTCCGTCTATTTTTCTAATTCCTTGGTTTAATTACCCAAGTTTAAGGTATGTATTTCTATACTACGTGGGATAAATTTTGGAAATGTATTTCGAAAGAAATACTTAAAATTAATTAAAAATTTAAAAAGTTTTTAAAACTTTCATCCAAAATTTTTAAAATAATCTTTTTAGAAAAGTATTTTCTATTGAGTATAGAAGTAGAAAAGAAAAAGAGAATGTGAAATACAACACATTTTCTCTAATGTATGAAAAAAATTGATTAAATTTTAAATCCCATCAAATCTTTGTAAATTTTATGGACATTTTGTCCGTCTATTTTTCTAATTCCTTGGTTTAATTACCCAATTTTAAGGTATGTATTTCTATACTACTTGGGATAAATTTTGGAAATGTATTTCGAAAGAAATACTTAAAATTAATTAAAAATTTAAAAAGTTTTTAAAACTTTCATCCAAAATTTTTAAAATAATCTTTTTAGAAAAGTATTTTCTATTGAGTATAGAAGTAGAAAAGAAAAAGAGAATGTGAAATACAACACATTTTCTCTAATGTATGAAAAAAATTGATTAAATTTTAAATCCCATCAAATCTTTGTAAATTTTATGGACATTTTGTCCGTCTATTTTTCTAATTCCTTGGTTTAATTACCCAAGTTTAAGGTATGTATTTCTATACTACTTGGGATAAATTTTGGAAATGTATTTCGAAAGAAATACTTAAAATTAATTAAAAATTTAAAAAGTTTTTAAAACTTTCATCCAAAATTTTTAAAATAATCTTTTTAGAAAAGTATTTTCTATTGAGTATAGAAGTAGAAAAGAAAAAGAGAATGTGAAATACAACACATTTTCTCTAATGTATGAAAAAAATTGATTAAATTTTAAATCCCATCAAATCTTTGTAAATTTTATGGACATTTTGTCCGTCTATTTTTCTAATTCCTTGGTTTAATTACCCAAGTTTAAGGTATGTATTTCTATACTACTTGGGATAAATTTTGGAAATGTATTTCGAAAGAAATACTTAAAATTAATTAAAAATTTAAAAAGTTTTTAAAACTTTCATCCAAAATTTTTAAAATAATCTTTTTAGAAAAGTATTTTCTATTGAGTATAGAAGTAGAAAAGAAAAAGAGAATGTGAAATACAACACATTTTCTCTAATGTATGAAAAAAATTGATTAAATTTTAAATCCCATCAAATCTTTGTAAATTTTATGGACATTTTGTCCGTCTATTTTTCTAATTCCTTGGTTTAATTACCCAAGTTTAAGGTATGTATTTCTATACTACTTGGGATAAATTTTGGAAATGTATTTCGAAAGAAATACTTAAAATTAATTAAAAATTTAAAAAGTTTTTAAAACTTTCATCCAAAATTTTTAAAATAATCTTTTTAGAAAAGTATTTTCTATTGAGTATAGAAGTAGAAAAGAAAAAGAGAATGTGAAATACAACACATTTTCTCTAATGTATGAAAAAAATTGATTAAATTTTAAATCCCATCAAATCTTTGTAAATTTTATGGAAATTTTGTCCGTCTATTTTTCTAATTCCTTGGTTTAATTACCCAAGTTTAAGGTATGTATTTCTATACTACTTGGGATAAATTTTGGAAATGTATTTCGAAAGAAATACTTAAAATTAATTAAAAATTTAAAAAGTTTTTAAAACTTTCATCCAAAATTTTTAAAATAATCTTTTTAGAAAAGTATTTTCTATTGAGTATAGAAGTAGAAAAGAAAAAGAGAATGTGAATTACAACACATTTTCTCTAATGTATGAAAAAAATTGATTAAATTTTAAATCCCATCAAATCTTTGTAAATTTTATGGACATTTTGTCCGTCTATTTTTCTAATTCCTTGGTTTAATTACCCAAGTTTAAGGTATGTATTTCTATACTACTTGGGATAAATTTTGGAAATGTATTTCGAAAGAAATACTTAAAATTAATTAAAAATTTAAAAAGTTTTTAAAACTTTCATCCAAAATTTTTAAAATAATCTTTTTAGAAAAGTATTTTCTATTGAGTATAGAAGTAGAAAAGAAAAAGAGAATGTGAAATACAACACATTTTCTCTAATGTATGAAAAAAATTGATTAAATTTTAAATCCCATCAAATCTTTGTAAATTTTATGGACATTTTGTCCGTCTATTTTTCTAATTCCTTGGTTTAATTACCCAAGTTTAAGGTATGTATTTCTATACTACTTGGGATAAATTTTGGAAATGTATTTCGAAAGAAATACTTAAAATTAAATTAAAATTTAAAAAGTTTTTAAAAACTTTAAGCCAAAATTTTGAAAATAAACTTTTTTATAAAAGTATTTTCTATAGAGTATAGAAGAAGAAAAGAAAAAGAGATTGTGAAATACAACACATTTTCTCTAATGTATGAAAAAAATTGATTAAATTTTAAATCCCATCAAATCATTTAAATTTTATGGACATTTTGTCCGTCTATTTTTCTAATTCCTTGGTTTAATTACCCAAGTTTAAGGTATGTATTTTTATACTTTCTTGGGATAAATTTTGGAAATGTATTACGAAAGAAATACTTAAAATTAAATTAAAATTTAAAAGTTTTTAAAAACTTTAAGCCAAAATTTTGAAAATAAACTTTTTTATAAAAGTATTTTCTATAGAGTATAGAAGAAGAAAAGAAAAAGAGATTGTGAAATACAACACATTTTCTCTAATGTATGAAAAAAATTGATTAAATTTTAAATCCCATCAAATCATTGTAAATTTTATGGACATTTTGTCCGTCTATTTTTCCAATTCCTTGGTTTAATTACCCAAGTTTAAGGTATGTATTTCTATACATTCTTGGGATAAATTTTGGAAATGTATTTCGAAAGAAATACTTAAAATTAAATTAAAATTTAAAAGTTTTTAAAAACTTTAAGCCAAAATTTTGAAAATAAACTTTTTTATAAAAGTATTTTCTATAGAGTATAGAAGAAGAAAAAAACTAAATCTCAATTAATGGAAGAATACTTTTATTTAATTTATGAAACTTTTAGATTGCTTTCCCATAAAGTTAAATTACTTGCTTAGGGTAATTCAAAATATAATAAAAAGTTTTATAAGAATGAATGATTATGCTGACATCTGCAATCTAAAATAATAAAGATTAACTGTTTTTGCCTTCTTCTTGTTTTTCACCATTCACAAATTTTGCTCGTTCAGCATTTTCTCTTCTTTTGAAGAATTTTAGTCTTTTATTCTAAGTAAAATTTTATTTTTATTAGATTGAAAAGATGTAGCGGAGAATGTAAGAATACGAAAAAAATTACAGACCTTGAGATGTTGGAATACGGGTTTTACCTCATATTTTTTTTAATTTTAAAGTTTATTTTTTGATTTCTCAGGTTTCCTGCCACTAAAATGTAATTAAAGTTATTTTGAACCTCTTTTCAAGTTTATTTTTTAAATTATTTTTACATTTTCAATCTATTTTCAGTTAAAAGTTATTTCATAACAATTTAGTATTTCAAAGTAAAATATGTCCAAAATAATTAAAAATGATACAACAATTATTAATAATTTGCCTTTATTAAATAATCAAACAGAAAAACTCCAAAAACAAATTCCGACAGAATTTATTTGTTTTCTCTGTAAACGGGTTTTTGAACAAGTTTAGAGGATATTTTTAATTTTTCAATTAAAAACAACTTTTAGCCTTTATTGCTTAGTTGTGGTCATTCATTTTGCCGTAAATGTCTACAGCCTTGGCTTCGAAAGTCAACAAATTGTCCTTTTTGTCGATCCAACACACTTACTCCCATATTTAACAATTGTTTGGAGGAGGTATTAATAAATTTATTTGTTGGGACTTATAATTTCCGAATATAATATCGTCCTAGTTTCGCACATGAAACCTTGAAAATTTCTTTCAAATTTTTTACATCCTTGAACAACTCAAAAATCTCAGAAATTTTAGTAAGATATTACTGAACTTATTGTCGATAAGCCTTGAAAAGTTAAAAATTAATAGGAAAACAGACACTTGAATAGACACTTTTCTACTAATTTATATACGGTATTTGACTTGGAAGGTTATTTGCCCTAACATTTATAAACTTAAATTAAAAATTATAATATTTTAGAAAATATTATATTTTAAAAAACAAAATGAAAATTTAATTTTAAATGCAAATAATGACAAAGGATTTATTCGTTCTTTTGTTAGACGAAGTGTTCGATCCGTAAAAGAGGTAGAAATCAAAATAATAGTTAATTATTAAAATATTTTAATAGCCACAAACATTATTACAACGTGAAGCTTTAAGAGCCAGTCAACGTAAGCCAACTAAAGGAATTGTGATTCCTCCTAAAAATGATATGGAAAATTGTTCAATAAGAGTAAATGGTTTGAAAATAAATTTTTATGATAAATGACAAAAAATAAAATTAAAAATGATTTTTTGATTGAACTGAAAAAATAATACTATCTAGATATCCTACAAATATAGATAAGGGAGAGGTGAAATAAATATCTCAAAAGCCTCACGGACTTTTGAATTTTTCTCGAACTTTTTATGGGTGTTTCTCATTCTATATTTATATTATAAGAGAAGGGTCGTGTAAAATCCTAGCCAAAATTTAATTGTTAACCAAAATTTAAATTTTATCTAAACTCTGGTCCTCATTATACTTTAAATAATCTTTTTGGACAAATACTAATTCCTTTTGTTTAAGTTAACAAAGAAAATTCGAAGAAGGAAATAAAGAATGAAGACAAAAAGGAAAATAAGCCTTTTCCCCGAATGGGCAATTTAAGACGAAGTTTTGTCCGGATGTATGGGAAAAAGAATTTTACAGGTATTTTATTTTTTAAATTCATACATAGAAGTTTAGACAAAATAAATATTTTAGACCAAAAAATTAATGATTGTCACTCAATTTCAACTTGTTTATCTCAAAATGAAATTATTTCAAATAAGGAATCTGGCTATACAAATGTTAGTTTTACTAGAATTGAAAGGGTTAAGGATAATCGTCATTTCAATATTACAGTATTTACTCTAATTGTAAGAATAACTGCTATTTTATTTTTCATACCCCTCAAATTTGTAATTTAATTAAAGGTGCCATACTATATATTAGAATAAATATGTAAAATAGAACCGAGAAAAACAAAAATTATAATTTTTTATTCTGGAATACAAACCCTTATCAAAAATTTTTTTCATTTTTTCTTTCGATTCTCGAAATTTTTTCACAATTACATTTTCATTTCCACTTCTTAATTTTTTAATTAATTTAATTATCAAAAAATTTTACTTTAAGGTATTTTCTCAAAATAAAGAAGGAATTAGTAGCAGTATTTCATTAAGCAGCGGATTTTCTCCACTATCCTCAAATTCAAATATTTCTACAACAAACAACAATAAAAATATTAATTTAAGTTACAGTCGATTACGTGCACCATCATTAGGTGTTTCTGGTAGTATTATTGCTAATAATCAAAGTTCAGATGAGCCCGAAAATTTAAGTAAAGGGAAAAAGCGTTTTGTAGAAAATTCTTCATTAAATTCAAATAATACAAAAAATGGATGTTTTCTAATGTAAAAATGATAATTTTAAATTCATTATAAATAAATTCATTGTTGAATATTAATTTTTTTATTTACATAATTTGTTTTCAGTTTAAGCAGTCACGTTGACGTTTGAAATTCAACTGCCAAAAAATTTTTCTCTCAAAGAGCTACTCTATTTTCTCGAGTAATTGCTATCCTTGATATAGTAGTTGAAAAAATAAATAGTAAAAGTGCGTTTGTATTTCACATCTTTTCTCTTTTTTTATCTCCCCAGAAAAAAAAGCTTTTTCAATATTTTAGAGATTTGAAGTGTGTTCGAGCATGCCGATTTCGAATATGAGGCCAGATTTTATTTGTTTCGAATCTCTAAGCCAAAATTCGAGCTCAAAGGTTCGTGTCAGTTTTTTAATTTCCTATTTTTAAATTTAAGTCACTGTTCTATTCGGGATTCGAAAATCTGGCCTCATATTTGAACTCAGCTCACTTAATTGATAAATTGATAAACTACAAAATATCGAAAAGTACTTCTTATTCTTTATTTTCTAGAAAGATGAAAAAAACAGCACTTTTATCAAATAAATACCAATGGTAATTAATCGAAGAAATACGACATTTTGAAAATACAGAAAAAATAAATTTTATCTTGTTAGATTTTTTAAATTAAAAATTAAGCATTTTATTTGCGGATCGAAAATTATAATAATATGTATTTTTCTAAAAATAAACTTTATAAATAAGCATACACATTTTTTACTTTAACAAAATAATTTCTAAACAAACAAACATCAAAACACAACCTCATGTTTTTGTGCCTTTTTATCTAAAATTTCCTCCTTTTATTTATTTTTATTCCTGCCACCCTATTTGCAATTATACTATTTCCTAGTGATGGTCGGGAGTTAAAAAACCCGAGAGTCGAGAGTCGAGACCAAGAGATTAGGAGGGATACCCTCTCTCAGTCTCACATGTCCCACGGGACATGTGACACAACAAACACACAACAAACGTTGCAAGGCTGTGAAGCCATAAATCCTCCTATTTCATCCATTTCCTGCGCCGAAGGCGAAAATTTTGAGAATTTTGAAGGTCCTTAAGTCAGATTTCTTCCATTTTTTGTGCCGCAGGCGAAAATTTTGAAAAATTTGGGAGTCCAATAGCCAGATTTCTTTCTTTTTTACCGCCGGAGGCGAAAACGCTGCGCCGCAGGAGGAAATTTTGAAAAATTCATGATTAAATTAAAATTTTTAATGTTTTTTTCAAGTTTAAAAAATTAAGAAAAAATAAATTAAAAATTTTAAAATCAAGATCAAAGTTTAAAAACGTTTATTTCCGAAAAGAAAAATTTTCACAACCTCATTTCCAACTTAGGATTCGAACCCAGCACTTACGAAATATTTAAGTGAGTTCATACACATTTTACTTCCTCTTGAGAGAAATTTGATATAAAAAAGTAACACTTTAACAAATAAAATAATATTTTTGTCAGCAGATGAAAAAACTCATGTTTATTTTTTTATTTCCTCTTTTTACCCTTTTTATCATCTGTTAGATTTACTTAATAATTATAAATTTAATACCCGAAATTTTATCAAATACAAGTTATTTTACATTTTAGGCATTATTTTTAAAATCAAGAGTTTAAACCCGCCTCCCCCTTCCTCAACTAATATTTACATGTAAACACTTTGACTACATAAAAAATAAAGCTTTTCGTGCATGCCTTATTTTTTCTCTACCGTATTTCTTATATGTAAGGGATGAGAACGATTACGAATTTTTGGTACAACTTCCAAACGTCGATCCCTATTTGTACATGAAGAATATTTCGGAGATTTAAAAGTAGAATTAAAAATTAAAACGATTAAAAAGCATTACTCAATAATTTTTTTTAATGAATGTTTCAGAAACATTTAATCGAGTGTTTCGGTTTTCGTCCCAATTTTTTTACACTTTTCTGGTCCTTTTTATTGTTTAAGTTCATTTAATTTTAACGTAGAAATAAAAAAATGTGATGTCTGAGATTAATATTTTAAATTATGACGAATTTTGTTTATAATTTTGAGAGAAAAAGGAAATGAAATATAAAGTACAAAATTTGTGTGAAATAATTTAAAATTTAATATAGGATAATTGTCACGAGAGTATTTTAACATTTTATTAGTTTTCTCTAAAAAGTTATTTTAGCACTCTGTTATATTCAAAATCTTTTTTCTAAATACTCAACGTATTATATTTAAGAGTCCAAAAATTAAATAAATTTTAGTAAAAACGTTATTAAATTTAAATATTTTCGTGTTTGGCTAAGAGAAACAGACAACACTGTCCGGAAATAATTAATTCTTGTTAAATTCTTATTTAAGATGTATTCAGTGTTTTGGTCATACATGTGTCCGACCGTGTCTTAGCAGGCCTGATCTCACCCCTTACCCAAATGTTTTTTATTTTGTGATCTATTTTGGTTAAAATGGGAATTTATGTAATTCTGAAGCTTTAATTCCATGCTCCATTGATAAAGCTAAAAATCATTTTTTGCTGTTATATTTTCTTATTTATTTCAAAATTTAAATTTAAAAATAAAGACAAACATTTTTATTTTTCAATTTTATTTAATAATAAAATAAATTTTGTAAAAAATATTTTATTTGTTATTAACATTATTGAGAGAAATTGAAAAAAAGAGGAAGTTAAAATAATCCACTTGTATGTATATTTTAATCTCTTCATTTTATTTATGTAAAAATTTTTGTTAAATTTTTCTTATTTATTTTTAATTACATACAAAATGTAACTAAATAATATTTAATTTTACAAATAATAAAGGAATTTTTTATTAAAAAAATTTTTTTTGGAAAGTAAAATATATTTAAGTAGCTTAAACGTCATTATAGCATAACACTGTTTAACTCGTCAATCAACGGTTAATGCAAAATACTATAATCTGTAAAATAACGGTTTTATTAGAGGATTTAATAAGGTCTTCTAAATAATAAAAATAAATTAAATCTAGATTTGTATACTTAAACTAAAGCTTTATTTCTTCATCTACTTTTATCAAAATATTTTTTTTCTCACGCGAAATACAAAATTATTTAAAATAAGAATTATGGTGCTGTTGACAGGCAACTATTATATAGTAAGACATGCTTTTTAAATCCATTGTAAATCTGAACTGATTCAAATAATGTAACCCAAACCTCTAGCATTTTCATAACTCCGAAAAAACGTCAGAAATTTAAAAGCAGGAATGTTAATTTCTACACATACCTAACTCCTCTTGTTTATTTATTACTCACCCTTTATTCTACAAATATTTTGTTTAATCTATTCAAAATTCCTTATCTATTTTTTTTAATTCTACATTTTTCCATTACTAATATATACCTAAGTACTGTTGATACTAATATTTTGTGACAAAACAATTTTTGTTTGAGGTTTTATTCACCTGTAGAGGTAAACACGTCAATCGTTTGTTTGTCAAACAATATAAAATGGAAAATAAAAAAAATTTATTTCCTCATTTACTTTTACCAAAAAAATATTTTTAAACAATTTAAAAGTACAATAGAAAATGTTTTAGCAAGGTATAAATACAAAACGTAATCATTAGATAAGCTTAAATGAATATATTTTTCTCTTTAACTTTATTGTAAATATTTTAGTTTTATTTTTGCCTCTTTAAATTAGTTAAAGAAGTTGGTTACTATATTGTCTCATTTGGTTACTATATTTCTCAATTCTCTTGACTAAATACCCCCTAGCCTCCTAAAACATCGAAATTAATTTTTGGGATAATTTTCATTAAATACGCATAAAGATAGTAATAAAAATGGTATACATAATGCTTCATAAAAACAATCTTATTATCGATAAAAATTGAACAAAATTATGGTAATGCAATAAAGTTATGGCTTAAAAACCAAGTAATTTGGCCAGGAACATATTAGTAACCATAATTTTTTTAATTTTTTGTTAATTTTGATGTTTTATTCATCAGGGTAAAATCAGTAATGAAAAAATCTTTTGTTCCAATTTGCAGCACTCTTTTTAAGAATACTACAGAAAATCGCGACAAGTCACGAAAATATTTGGTTTTGATTCTTAAGGTTCTTCTCGATTCTTATTCTTGATTCTTCCCCTTTTTCAATTTTTTATAAAATAATTTAACTAATTTATTACATATTTTTTTTCTTTTTTAAACACGCCATTTTAAATTTAAACAAAACTCACATCCTTTTTTTCAAGTCTAGATTAAATGTCTAGGTCATTTGTATTATTTTTTAAATTTATTTTTATAAATTTTACTGAATATATTAGAAAACCTGAATTTTCTTTTATTTAATATTAAAACAATTTTTAAATAAAAATTAAATTCCTCATCAAAAATCAAATTAAATATTTAATTCATTAATTAACAAACTACACACTAATTTAAATACTTCCCCCTTGTATTTTACATAAATTTAAAACTTCATTTATTTTACCAAACATTAATTCTAATCATTTTGAAAAAAATATTATTTTATCGAAAATTATATATCCTGATTTTTTACCGAAACGATCTGTTAATTCTCTAAAAGAATAAACGTTAGAAATTCTGACTATTATGTATCTATTTTTATTTGTCTGAAATTCTCTATAGGATTATAAAATCTTCCTACCCAAATATTGAGAATAAAGGTTCTTTTAAAGATCTCCTTTGACAGCAGATTTACTAAAAATGTTTATGAATTTCAAAGAAAGTTTGGGCAGAATAAAACTCAGATACTCAACATCCAGACACTCATCGGAGGCTACCGTATAATTAGGATTTTTTAAACTATAAATACCTTTTTTCTTAACTCTATTAATTGCTCTTAATTATTTTTTTTATTTCTTGCACTATAAAATATATACTTCCGCTTTCCTTAACACCCTCCTCTCCCTTAAACAATAAATACCCCTCTACTTAAAAGTTGATTAAAATTACACTCAAAAATTATCCTCTACCTATGTATTTACTTAAATTCCTCCAGTAAAGTATTGAAATAATTCTTCCAAGTAATTATAAGTAAATACTTTCTATAATAATTTTTCTTTAAATAAAATTTAATATAAATAATTTTTTTTCAATTTATTTAATTTTAACAATATTTCCCTCAATTTCTAAAATATCCACTTCCTCATTCCCCCCTCCACTACACATTTTTTCTTTTTTCTTTTCTCGCTACTAGAAAAATTTTACTTCCGCTTTCCTTTTTTTGCTCGCTCTACTTCCTTCCTTCCCTTCCCCCCTCCCAACACTTTTTTTTATATTTTTTTTATTTCTTGCACTATAAAATATTTATTTCTATTTCCACCAAACACAATAGTATACTCTCTCCCTCCTTTTTAAAATTTTTTTTCTGAAACTTTTTTTAAATTAATTAATTTTTTATTTAATAAGGAGACTTTTTTTGTATATTTACCTTTAAAAATGTTAAAAAAATTTCTAGACAAAATTTAAAAAAATTTTTCTTTTTGTTGACAGTTAATTTTTTTATTTAAATAATGTTAAAATAAATTTTTTTCATTCGAAATTTTCAAAAAAAATTTTTTTTTGTGTTAATTATCTTGGCTCTTGCCCAGTTTATCTAATTTTTTTTTTCATTTTAGAATATTTATTATTAATTTATTTTTATTTTTTTTTATGACTTCAGAAATAAGTTCTTCTTGTAATATTAGACCAGTAGTCTCTGGTTCTCAATTTGTGTTGATTAAAAGAGGAGCAGCTCCACACAATTCTGTAATTATTTTTTTTTAATTTTTAAAATTAAATAATGAAAATGAATTATTTTGTTATAAAATTCAAATTTAAATTTTTTTTAATTTTTATCACTCAAAAATTTAAAAGCTTTGAGAATTCTATTTTTAAGATAAAATTTTACTAATAAACTAACAAAGTATAAAGCTAGATTATTAATTATTAAGTCTGAGCTAAAATTAAATAGAAAAATATTTTATGAAATATTTCGTTAAAAAGTTAGACACATTTGTGTCGAAACAAATTTTAAAACACGAAGGCGACACTGGCACACTCCTGATCCTGTTTCGCCTACTTTTATTTGCATCAGACCTTATTTTTCTTCCCTTTGACTTCACTTAGGGTACAGTAATGTGAGATCTGATTTATTCTCATAGATTTTTAAATCTAAAAATATAAAGTCAGTCGCTCGCCACAAATATTTAGCAAAACTTTCTTAACAAATTCCCCTTATTTTTAGAGTTGTACCCCGACCCCGTACCCCGAACCCCGACCCCGTTCCCGAACGATTTTTTCACGATTCTCCCCGACCCGAACCCCGCCCCGAAACATTTCGAAAACCCCGTACCCCGACCATAAAAGTTTCGGGGTTATCGGGGTTTTATACACCCAAAAAATGCCATTTTTGTGAGAATTTTAAGAGAAAAATTTTAAAAATTTCCTCACAATTTACTTTGCCTTAATTATTTTTGAAAGAAAAATGAATGAAATATCAAAATTTTCTTTCCTTTTTAATTAAGAGACTTGTGGTTGAGTGGCTTAGTTGTTGGTTTTAGCCTATATTTCCATTAATATAGGATTGGGTTCGGATCCATATAAGGAGAACTCGTTTGTTTTTATATTTCTTTACAAAAACAAATTATTAACGAGTTAAATTTTAATTTTAAAATATTAATTTTATTTTTAACTGATATCCCTTGAACGACCCTTAATCCTTCAAACCCCTTGTATCACCAGTAAGGGGTTCCCAACCATAACAGTTGGAAAACTAGCGAGGTCCTGTTAACGGGAAGTGAGATATAAAGGAATTTGTAGTATATCGAAGAATTAAGGAGTTATAAAGGGATATAAGGTTTAGATTAAAATGGATTTGAAAGAATTACGTGAATTTAACGGAATTAACAAGGATTTCGTGGGAGATTTAAGGATTAATCCAAGATATCTCCTGATATCCGTCCAAATACCCTTACCCGCAATACTTCAATATTCTTATTAATCACTGATATCCCTTGAAACAACAAAAATCACTCCAGATCACCTTGCACCTCTAGATATACCATTTAATCCCTAAAAATCCCGCTTAATCCCTCCATATCCACTTATATCCCAAGTTATACACTTTAATCCCTTCAAATCCCCTCTAATTTCTCCAAATCCTACTTAATTTTTGAATAAATTAGCGAAAATATACCGAGATCTGATTATTTTTGAGCATTTTTTTCTCTAAAAATTTTTTCACTAAACCCCCGTACCCCGACCCGAACCCCGGCCATATTTTGCTCCCCCGACCCGAACCCCGCCCCGTAACAATTGGAAAACCCCGTACCCCGACATACCCGCCCCCGAACGTTCGGGGTACAACCCTACTTATTTTCAGACTCAAAACATTCTCTCATCTTATAAATGTCAAGAATTTGTTTCCTCAACATCCTCCTCTTCATCTCAACAAAATAATACAACAAAAATAAAAAAAGAAATTCCAAAACAAAATGTTTATATCAAAACAACAACAAACAATAAACAACAACCCCAACAGCCATTCCAACAACCACCCCAACAACCTCTCCCTTCTCTTAAAAACAACAAAAACATTTCTCCTTCCAAAACTCCAAACATTCCAACAAAACCTTCTTCTTCAACAAAACATTCAGAAAAACACCAAAATGTTGTTTTAGAATTATTTAACCCAAAAGAATATTTTAATGCCCAATCAAAACTTTCTTCTCAACTTGCGGGGAGAGAAAGAACTAGATTGCAATTTAAATCTAATAATCAACATTTAAATGATTTGTTGCTGGAAGATCATAATAATGTTAAAATGGAGGTAAAAGAGAAAATTTTGGAAAAAAAATTAAGAAAAATTTTTCGAATATTTGGATTCTGTTTTTCGGTGTTATAGAGCAGCACGGGACGGGATCACCGCGATACCCGACTTTTAGAGACAAACGAAATTTCCGTAATTCATGGATTAATCCCACAGTATTTATGCCCAACATTCGATATTAGATATTTTGGAAGTAAATTCCCATTCTGGTAGAAATTAGGAATGACTGCCAGATTTCACTCTTTTGGATTAGTTAGATTAAGGCTAACTATTTTTAAAAATAATTTTTTAAATTTAAATTGTCAATTTTAAAACGCTAAACAAAATTAATTTTAGATAATTGAGAGAGGCGGTGAAGGTTCAAGAGGATAATTAAAAGAATAGAAATGTTTTTACTCTCTACATAATTGCCATTTTAAATTTATTAAACAATGATTTTTTAAATATATATTTTCTAAATTGTTAAATAATTTTATTTTAATTTTATAAATTAATCAAAAAATCAGAATTTCCAAATAAGTGAAAAATAAACTTTAAAAATAGTAATTTTCTATTTATCTCGTAAAAGTCTTCGTAATATCTTCCCTGATGGACTCTTTGGAATTATTTCGACAAATTCAACATATTTAGGTTGTTTATAAGATGCCACTTTTTCTGAAAAAATGAGTGAAAATTAAGAAAATTTTTATTTCAAAAGTAGGGTTGGAGGATGAGAGTCGTCTAAATACCTATCTGAAGATTCCCCGGTGTCCAAATCTTTTTGAATTTAACTATGCTAGTTGACAGAATATGAGAAGAAGACACTCCCCCATGCAAAGATTAGCGAGCGAATCCTTAGCTATAAATCTATTAAATATTTGTTATTTATGTTTAGTTTCCTCTAATGTTATTAATCTTGAAACTGTGAGATTTGCTCGTATTTTGTATCAAGTACGAGTACAAATCTTGGTGATAGCTTCCAAAAACCCATTCTTCAGTGAATAGGAATCTCTAAAAGAAATGTTCCTTCTCATATAAAATTGTCTGACCTTTCAAAAAACTTTTGACAATTTCCGGAGTCAGTTTATCATTATCTGGAACTATAAATGCTTTTGGCACCTCTCCACACAATTTATCAGAAACACCAATCACAGCACAATCTTTAATATCGGGGTGTGACAATAATAAACCTTCCAATTCAGCAGGGGCAACCTACAAAATGTTTTTAATTCTCTGGCATTGTGTATTTTTATTATTTGATAAATTGGGAATTTGAAAATTGGAGTAAAATCGCATCGCGAGTTAACTAAACTGGAATGGCTTAAAAATTGTTGGACTTAAAGGTTTTTCACTCGATTAGTTAATTACTGAATCCCATTGATCGCAAAGATCGTAAAAGAACTGGGATTAAGGACAGTTACGGTTTCACTCAGACAGAGCAATGTTTGGATATTTAAAATTTGCCAGTGTACAGGCATTATTTTTATCTACTGCTTGTAGACAGTTCCAAACACTGCTCAAGATTAGATAATACTCTGTTTTGGATAGATTTATTGTTCAAGTTTTTCGAAATTTATACAAATCGAATATACCTGAAGTCCTTTAACTTTAATCAGTTCTTTACGTCTATCAACAACATAAGTCCACCCCTGTTCATCGTGGTAACCGATATCACCTTTTGGAAAAAATGTTTATAAACATTGCTTCAAGTAGTTTACCAGTTTTTAGCCATCCATCTTCATTAATAGTTTCTGCTGTTGCATCCGGCTTGTTTAGGTATCCAAGCTAAAAATTTTTTAAAAAATAATTTTGTCCACAGGGTCCCAAATATTTTCCAAACAAAATCATCGCTCATGAAGGCTTCGGGTTTAGTTAATAAAGGGTTGACGTATTCAAACAGGGCCGGTGTTCGAGTCTTTTTCTGGCCAAAATTCGATTCCCAATTCAATCTTTCGAGCCAAACAGCGTTAGAAAGGCGGCAATCCTAAGAACCCCCTAAGGACTGACTGAAATATTTTGTTTCGCCCTTTCATGTCATTTTCATTTAAAAACATTCATTTAATTTTTATTTCGTTCTTATTCAAAATAAAAGAAAATTTTTATTTAGACCAGTCCTGGCCCCATGTTAGTTGCACCTATATAACCGCACTAGTCTTAATAATTCACCATATTAGTTGGACTTCTAGTACAAATCTCCCCAACTTGTCCAAGTTTTAAAGTAATTTCCCTTTCAATATCAACAATTTTCATTTCAAAATTTGGATTTAATCTCCCAGCAGCTTTTTGGTTATCCATTCCAAAAACGGGTAAATGCGAGCACATTGACTGTTCTGTCATTCCATAACCTTGGGCTATTTGTGCAACAGAGGGAATTAATTTTTTAATTTCTGTGCAGATTTCATCAGCTACTGGGGCAGCTCCAGTCATTATAAAACGAAGTGAAGACAAATCATAACGTGAAATTAATTTTGGACTTTTTGCTAATAATACAAGTATTGGAGGAACTAATGTTGCATATTTGAGCTAAAAAAAGAGAAAAGTATTTTTTGATAATATTGAAACTTATTATTTTTTAGAGAAGGAGAGTTTTTAGAAATCTTTTAGTAAATCGAAATGGTTATTAGTAGCTATTGTCCTGTTTCGGAAATGGAAGAACATTTTCCCCTATTCAAGGTTAAAATATGGTTTATTGTTGTCCCCTTCCCCTATATTGTTTCAAAATTAAATGTGATAATTAAAGGTTCTGAGAGAATTTTGAATAATGATGGAGCATTAAATTTTTAACAGTGTTTCACCCAAAAGTCTCTATTAGACTAGATTAAATTAGGTAAACTAAATTCTTCACATTTTATTTAGCCCTCCCAAAATCTTTAATTTATTTACTTTGTATTCTTGAATAGTTCTGCAATACAAATCCAAATCAAATTTTTTCATCATAATACCAGTAGAACCAGTAAATAAACAATTTAAACCAAGAATAAACCCGTAAACTAAAAAAATATTTAAATACCCAATTTAAATTAAATTTCCCTCACTATGGTATAATGGCAACATTAAAAGTGTGTATTCCCGTTTCCAATCCCAATTAAATGATATTCGGTGACATACACGTTCATCAAAATGGCTGAATAGTTAAATTAAAAAGTGCAAGTAGATATCGAGATTCTTTAAGACTCTTGTCCGGTATATAATTGTAATGGATTTTGCCTATCAATGGTAGACCTGGTTCTGGAACATTTTTTTGTTTGGATATACATATGGCTAATATCTATGTACGCCTAAACTAACGGAGACCCCAACGTTTATAGGCCAAAAGCAAAGAATGTACAACCCAAGTCTAACCTTAAAAACCAAAGAAAATTCAATTACAAATTTATGAGACGTATAAACTGGACGAGAGCCTATTTTACTTAGAGTCTTACAAAATTCAATTCGGCTCTAAAAACCTTTTAGATAAGCTAATCGTAAATATAAAACAATTAAACTCACGTATTAAAAATGCTAAGAATTGTGCCAACATTTTTATGAGAAAGCATAACACCTTTTGGTGGACCCGTAGTTCCGCTTGAAAGAAAAAATTTTCTTTTAAAAGAATTTTCAAAATTTTTTAAAAACCTAGAAAAAGGTAAATAAGCAAAATCTTTTTCTATATTAATTTTTGGTATTTTTCTTTCAATATTAGGGCGATTTTGGATAATATCAGTCCAATTGTGAATGTTTGGAGGTAATGAATTTTGATAAATTGGAGGATATTGACTTGGAATGAGCACCAAATGCTAAAATATTTTTAAAAATAATTAAATTTTAATTGAATTTAAAGGAATTGGTTAACTACATTGATGAAATCGGGCTATTCTTTGACTGTAATCAGGCAAAATTTTATCAAATGTGATCTAAATAAATCCAAAAACACCAGAGGAATGGAGGCACAAGCACTTTTTTCTAGAGCGCCCTACCCTATAATGAAAAATAACTCTACAACTGAAATTCTGATTCGAGAACTCGCCTCGGTGCAGTCTCTGATTAGGATAAGTAGCCCTGGTTAAGCCTTTCCCAACTAAAGCCGATAATTTTATGATTTGAATTTCACCTTAAGATTAGGGCATTTTTGCATAACAATTTTCATTTTATCGAATAAAAAGTCAGAGCAGAAAGCAACACGACATTTAGTTTCATTGAATTGATATGCTAACTCTTCTTTAAAAAATTTGAAAATTAATGAAATTGTGAAGGTTTGAAACTGAGAAAAGGGAATTTTTACAGGTTTTCTATCAAATGATAGCTCGAATATAAAAACCGAATCAGAAATTTTTATTAAATATGTGTGACAAATTGTTATCTTCAGCAAAAACTTCCTGACCTAACTTGAAGTAATAATTATTGGGAACTATCGTATATAACAAGGGTAGCGCTCGTCTCGTATCTCGCATTTTGTGGCACTGCCACACCTGGTATATATACTGTATTTAACTACCCCCGGGTGATTTATAAAGGCTGGATAATTATTTGAAGGACGGAATTAATACAGTATATACGATAGAGAAAATTACTGATTTTCTTCTATTATTTTACCTTCATTATGTTGCGGATTAGCACCACTAATACACCCTCCCTGCATCGAAGCGCCTAGAAACGCTGCAAGGAATTGCCAACAATTATGTACAACAACACCCCCAACTTCTCCCTTTCCTACTCCTATTGAATCTAAAAATTGAGCAATAGAATGACATTGGAGCAAAAATTCAGCAAATGTGATTTGTTGTTCTGGATATTCGGCACTAATCTAAAAATATTTTTAAAAATTTTTAACTTAAGTAAACACAAATACTAAACACATAATTATTTTAAACCTCAAAAAAGAAAGTTTTACAAGGTTACTCAGTAAACAAGCAATTAGTGAATAATCTCGTACTAACCGGAATTGTCAAAATTTAGAATCACCCTGAACATGAACCCCGGTTCCTTTTCTAACTTTTTAAAACAGGGAAAGAACTGTCAAAAATCAATTGTCTTGTGTGACCTTATTAAAACAAAAGCTTTTATAATAAGTCGAACCTCGATTTAACAAACCTCCCAAAACTATAAACATTTTCCTCAATACTTTCGAGTTAGTTATATCGAGATTCGACTTAACATACAAAAATTCTTTTTTTTAATAAATTAATTTACAAATGCAGCCTTTCCCGGTTGTCTCAATGAATGCTTCCAAATAGCATCCAAAAGAGTGTCATGTATAGGTACTGTTGCTATTGGCACAGGTACAAACTCTGATCGAATTATTCCCTCTTCACTGACAACTTAAAAGGAAAATTTCTTTTCAGAATGTTTCAAAAATTCCCAAAATTTACATTTAGTATGAGTCTTCCGAATTGTAACGATGCTGCATTTATTTA